AATATCCCGCCTATCTAGTCGATAGACCACTCTAGGTGGCTCACAACAAAAGAAACAACAATAGTAAAAACCAATTTACAAAAGGAAAACTTTCATCAATTGGATAAAACAGTAGGAAAGAGAAGGAAAGAGGAGTCAGGAGTCAGCCACTATGTTGCAATAGCATCCAGTGATGTTTCAAGGAAGGACAAACAAATCTTAGCAGAGTTTCTCCCCCCACTCCAAAAAAATGTGTACACAAATGTTTACTTCATGTCAACAGCTATGTAGTAATAACTGTTCTTAGGAAGGCATATATGAAATCAAAATTAAAGTACAACAAATTAAGAAGAGCAGGAACTAGGAGAAGAATAAAATCAAAACAATATTTGTAATATTGCTTACATTATTTGTTGTGTTCCCTAGGTGCTTTTTATCCTGATTTGACTACAGGCCGGCAAAAGAAAGATGATGTTGTGCAACCAGGAGAACAGTTTGTTTACACATGGGAAGTAACTGAAGATCATGGCCCAGCAGAGGGTGATAATAATTGTGTGACCAGGATTTATCACTCACATATAGATGCCCCCAAAGATATTGCTACTGGGCTTATTGGACCCTTGATTGTTTGCCGAAAAGGTAAAATATACTATTATAGAAGTTGACTGAATGCTTTTGATCCCAGCAAATGAGAAACATGCTCCATTCAGGACAAGTAATACTGGAACTGTATTTGAACTTTCATAGAGAATCAATGGAAAGCACAAAAGTTCTGTGTGTCTCCTATCTTTGAGTGGTGACATTTTCTATGGACAGGTTCTGACTTCCTTTGGAGGAGAGAGAGCAAGTGAAATTTATGTCATAGTTACAGTAATAATGGCTTTATAAACAGTGGTGGCCTGTGCTCCAAGTGAGGGGGCCTCATCCCTGAGGACAGAAGACAGAAGGACCCTGCCTTCTCACACAACAGATGTCTCTGCATAGAAATAGGAATAGCATAACTAGAAGCATACCAGCATATGCCCTGCCAGGAAGTAGATCTACTACCACATATCTAGAGATGGTCATCCTTCAACTCAAAAATGTTTCTAGCCTTGAACTATTTCTTGTTTATCTCACTGCTTTTGTTTCTCTGTTTGTGTCCTTTGATCCACGTGTTTTGTTTCTTCATGTTCACATTCACATGCATGCATATATATAAATAACAGCAGTTCCTTCACTTAACTGAGTGAGGTGGTTCTGTTATCCTGTATATCAGTGGTTCACCACCTTGGGCATCCCAGGTATTCTTGAACTGCAACTCCCAGAAACCCCAGCCAGCACAGCTGGTGGCGAAGGCTTCTGGGAACACCTGCACTTCTCAAGGTTGGGAACCATTGCTCTACATTCTGATAGCTTCTCCATCCAAAACACTGAAAGGTGGTCTTCTAGCTAGAGGTGTGCAGACTTACGTTTTTGTACTACAGCTCCCAAAACTCTCCTGGCAGCAGCTACTTGGTGAATCCTGGGAGCTGTAGTCCAAAACACAAATTTGCACAGCTGTATGACCATTCCTAAATCAGGTGCATTATCCCCTGCTGAGGATGAAAATATGTACCAGTCATCCTAAACTGTTAAAAAGCTATCTCTCCAGTGTCTGCAAAGGAATGTTGCCCAGTTATTATTCAGTTAAACTTTAGGTAATTTTATTTATTTATTGATTGATTTGATTTGTATCCCGCCCATCTGGTCGACCACTCTGGGTGGCTTTTTAAAAAATTATTGAATGAAATAAAAGAAACACTAACAAATCTTTTAAATTAAACTTATGAAACTACCGTATTTTTCTGTGTATAAGATGCCCCCATGTATAAGACACCCTCCACTTTTCTAATCCAAAATTAAGAAATCTAAGTGGGGCTTAGCAAGTGTAGGGGGAAAGGGATTAAAGCGCTGCAGGATCGCTTTGATCCCCGCTTTCCCCTCCACTTGTTTTTGTTCTCTCCTCAGCTTACTTCCGTGTATAAGACGACACTCAATTTTTAGTCTAAAGATTTTAGACAAAAGTATAGTCTTATACACTGAAAAATACAGTACCTTATGCTTTGGTCTTAAACATACTTAGTGAAGAGTAAATCTCATTGTTTCCAAGTAAGCATATTGAAACATTGGGCCGTGAATGTTATTATTTATTCTCTGTAAAGGTCCAAAAACCAAAGTCTGTGTACTGAGCTGTATCACTCTTTTTAATATATATCATATTCCCACATTATCAGAAAAGGAAACTTGAGAATTATGGAGCTATGCAAACAGTAGACATTGACCAGCTCATCAAACACATGTCACCCATTCTGTTTTGCGCCTTTTTCTTGCAACTATTAACTAGGAGATTAAAATTGTGTCAAATAGCTTATGTTAAACCTGTCCATTTCCCTTAGGCACATTGCAAAATGGAAAAGACAAAGATGTTGACAAGGAATTCATCTTAATGTTCTCTGTGATGGATGAAAATTTCAGCTGGTACTTAGATGATAATATCAAGAAATACTGTTCTGAGCCTGACAAAGTTGACAAAGAGAAGGAAGACTTCCAAGAGAGCAATAAAATGCACTGTAAGCACATCTTTTGGAACAAATGGAATAATCTCTTGCTCCCATATGTATACATGAAGTGTTATAGATCACTTTTACAGAGATTCCTGACTTAGATATGGGCTAAAATCCTCTTCAAGTTGGCATAATGTAAAGTTAGACCTGTTGAAGTGTGCCAGACTTTATGTGCCTTATGCCCAGGAAGCCACAATTGCACATCATTGCGTGGTTGAAATCACGGTTGTGCAGTCGATTACATCACTGTTGTGTAATGGATTGTGCAGTTCACATAGGGACTGTTGTGTGACCTGCCTGCTGAAGTGCTGTATAGATATTGCTTCCACTCCACAGCTTCCTACTACTTCTGCAGCTTGGCATGATGAACACGTAGCCGTACAACAGATGTTCAGCCACTATGTTGCAATTTTTCCATATCATCCAACAATCAAGAGACACACTGTTCTTGTGCATAGAGTGTTTCTTTCTGCCACAGTAGGCTATGATGTTTGACTTCTCAAGTCTGTGTGTAGTGTTTGTGCTGGGCACGCTGCAGTTGACTGGACTATTGATGTAAAATGAGTCCTGCTTTTAAAATGTATTGACATTTCAAGGGTCTTTGCGGCAGATTTTTTTTTCTGAATCTTCCTCCTCAAGATGATGTCATGTGTTTTCAATAATTCTAATATGTTTTAAATTTCCTCCTATTTTTAAAAAGCAATCAATGGATATATGTATGGATATCTTCCCAACATCACAATGTGTGTGGAGGATCAAGTGAAGTGGTACCTCTTGGGCATGGGTAATGAAGCTGACGTCCATTCCGCTTATTTTCATGGGCAAGCCTTGACAGACAGGAAGCATCGAGTTGACACAATCAGCCTCTTCCCAGCCACCTTTGTGGATGCTGTCATGGTACCACAGAATGATGGGGAATGGCTTCTTAGCTGCCAGGTCAATGATCATATAGAAGGTATAAAATACACAATCCCTGTATTTAATTACCATCCTTTAATATCATAAATAATAACTACTGTTGTTTAGATTCTGAAAGGCGTGTTGTGTTTTTTTAAAAAACTTTATTTTGTTTTTACCTATAGTGTTTGCACAGACTAACATGGCTACTCCCTCTACAACTACAACTAATTTTGTTTGGATTTAACTCAAAGAATTAGACATTTATAAACTTAGACTCAGTCTATTTTTCCATCAAACAAATATTGCAGTTGTTTATTATGCTATGTTTTTCTTTTCTTTGCAATTTTCCTAACTTAGCATTTTCTATTTTTCGGTTCATAGACTTCTCAAAGAGAGAGGAACTCTAGCCTCACGTAATTCAACCACTCTGTTTTTCTTTTCACCAGGGGGAATGCAGGCCATTTTTGAGGTGAAAAACTGCAACCATCATGCTCCCTCTGTCCAGAAGGGGCAAAAAGTAAGGCAGTATTACATTGCAGCAGATGAAATTATTTGGAACTATGCCCCATCTGGAATAAATAACTTTACAGGAGAAAAATTGATTCAGGATGAGTAAGTATTGCTCTCAAGAAACCAAATAGTTACTGGTAATGTGCACGATTCTGTTTTTCATTGTTTACTTACAATTTATAGCTACTTTTTTCTCCAAAGATTTTCCTCTTTCCCACTCTATCCTCAGAACAACCCTGTGAGGTAGGAAAGTGATTCACCAAAGATACTCAGTAAATTTTATCTCTGAGTGCAGAATACAATTTAAATCTCCTAAATTCAGCTCCGGCATTCTTAAGCACTGCAGTTCATTGCCTTCTACCAATGAGACACAGAACAGTACCTAGGTTTGTCAAAGGAACTGCAGGAGTAACATCTGGCAAGTGATGATAACTAATTCTCAGGTTATGTTCGACATGTTATGATACCCCTTCTGATGAACTGTTTAAAAAGTCCTACTCCCCCTAAAAGTACATCCTGGGAATTCGGTTGAAAAACAGTTGCATTTAACATCCCTTCAGAATTTCTTTTCCATGGTAGTGGCATCTGAGGACAGCCACCTTCCAAATTGCTTTCTGATTTTCAGAAGTTTTCCCAACATGTGAAGGTAAGCAGGTTTGATCAGGATCAGGAAAAAGCCTGCCAAGGAATTATAGCAAAATGTGCAGAGCCAAAGGTTGGGAGTTGGATTCCCTATGGTGCCTCCTTGACAGGAGCTAGACTGATGATCCGTAGGGTCCCTTCCAGCTCTGCAGGTCCAAGATTCTCCGTTTCTCTATTCTGTTAGTTGAATGTCATTCTTAAATAATTTATTTTGTTGCATAGGGATGCCAAAACATTTTTTGAACAAGGTGAACTAAGAATTGGTGGGAGTTACAAAAAAGTTCTTTACTATGAGTATGTTGATGAAACGTTTACAGTGCAACGGACAAAACTGCCTGGCGAAGAACACCTTGGACTTCTAGGTAAGATGTAAACATTGACAATCAAAAGTAGATGAATGTGAGTTTTTTTTAAAACTGGAAACAACATTTCAAGGAGGGGATAAAAATGAATGAGAGGCAATGATGGTTGCTTGATTAATTATCAAAGGATATGTCACAACGTTTTTTTTTTTTCAAAGTCACCAAGGTGAAAAAGAGGAGTCTTGGATTTGACAATATTTATTTATTTAATGTGTATAGTTCCCAGGATGGACAATGTTCTAGCAGAACTGTGGTGTGAAATGGGTGTGTGAGAGATAGCAGCTGGTCATTTGGAAGAGTGATTACTCATCCACACATTCTAAAAGTTCCTGGCTCAGTGAGGGTTTAGATGCTCATTGATTTGGATAAATTCAACAGATCCACAAGGCTTTTCGTCAGATTTGAATAACTCCCTCCCCTGCTGCTTCGGGAGTTCTTTTTTCTTTGCTTGGAAAGATTTTGAAACCCATTTAATTTCAGATCTGTTATCTCTGTCTCGTTCCCTGATTTGAAACACGGTGGATCTCATAGAGCAGTGGTTCCAAACTTTAGGTTTCCAGATGTTCTTGGACTACAGCTCCCTTAAAGGGACTGGTGGCGTAGTGGTTAAACCGCTGTACTGCAGCCGAAACTGTGCTCACAACCTGGGGTTCAATCCCAGGTAGCTGGCTCAAGGTTGACTCAGCCTTCTATCCTTCCGAGGTCAGTAAAATGAGTACCCAACTCGCTGGGGGGGGCAATGTGTAGCCTGCATAATTAACTTGTAAACCGCCCAGAGAGTGCTTGAAGCACTATGGGGCAGTATATAAGCAGCACACTTTGCTTTGCTTTGCTTTAACCAGCACAGCTAGTGGTAAAGACTTTTATTCCAAGAACACTCGAGGAACCACTGCTGTAGGGACATGTATGATTAGAACTCCCCTGACATCAACTGTGGTATGCTATGTGGGAGTGTCCTCTCAACACAGGGATTGCTGATTAAAGCTTCTAAATGGGTGGAGGAGATTTGTTATCACTTGCCTTCTGTGTAACTCCTGGCAGGATCAATATAAACAGGATGCTGTTTTGCCCTGCAAAGGGGAAAAAAAACTAACATCTTTAAGGTCTGCAGGAAGTTTGTAGGAAGAAATGCACAGCTCCTTCTTCAGCAAAAACAAACAAACCTAAAACAAAACTGCTTCCACTAAGAAAAGGAGGCAAGAAAAGAAGGGAATGAAAGGAAGGAAAAGGTGAAGGAGAAAGAGAGGGAGGCCTGTCATTTGTAAACTTGTCAAAGAAATCAGATTATATTCAAGGAAAAATAAAACAAGTAAAGATGCTTCAACTGGGTGATTATAAATGCATGGAGGCCATTCCCACCGACATCAATCCAAGCCACACACCTGTCTGAGACAAGCATTAGCGATCCGGAAAAACAGATTGCTATGCGATTTCATCGTTATGCGGTGCGCTCGTTAAGCGAGGCACCACTGTAGGTGGAGGAGATTTGTTATCACTTGCCTTCTGTGAAACTCTTGGCAGGATCAATATAAACATGCTGTTTTGCCCTGCAAAGGGAAAAAAAACCTAACATCTATAAGGTCTGCAGGAAGTTTGTAGGAAGAAATGCACAGCTCCTTCTTCAGCAAAAACAAACAAACCTAAAACAAAACTGCTTCCACTAAGAAAAGGAGGCAAGAAAAGAAGGGAATGAAAGGAAGGAAAAGGTGAAGGAGAAAGAGAGGGAGGCCTGTCATTTGTAAACTTGTCAAAGAAATCAGATTATATTCAAGGAAAAATAAAACAAGTAAAGATGCTTCAACTGGGTGATTATAAATGCATGGAGGCCATTCCCACCGACATCAATCCAAGCCACACACCTGTCTGAATAAGTCCTGAATCAGGAAATGAGAATGCTGAAAGTGAGGTATGGCTTGATCAGAGGCCAAGAGCACCCCCATATTTGGACAATTTTCAGGGAAGACCCTTTCCAGGATTCCTTTCCTAATGGTCCACGGGCTGTAAGCTTGCTTACAGCTACAAGCTGCCATTTTGAATTTCTCACAGTGTCCCAGATTGCCAACATAAGCCGCCATAGTGGTCAGCAGCAACACAACATTGGGTGTGCTCTGGGTCTGGGATATTGTGTGGGGAAATCAAAGCAAGTGTTTGAGATTGCTACATGCTGATCTTTCTGGAATGTCAAAATAAATCATTGGATGCAGAAAATCGCTCTGAGATCCTGGCATGGAATCATAGATGAGCTGATTGTGGCATGTCTGACTGTTCCTGTCTGAATATATTCTGGGAGTTAAACCAAAAGCTTGTTTGTATGCTAGCTTGTCTCTAAAGATCTTTCACACAGTACGTGCCACTTCTTGGTTTTGTTTTTAAACAGGACCCATAATCAGAGCAGAAGTTGGTGACACCATCCGAGTGATGTTCCAAAACAAGGCCAGTCACCCATTTAGCATTCAGCCACATGGTTTGAGTTATAGCAAAGGCAATGAAGGTTCCTTGTACAACACCATCTCTAGAGGTGAATAGTTATTTTATGAGATTCTTGTCTTGTACAACTTCCTAAGTTGTGTTAGTTGTCTTGATTTGTTTCCACTGATGAAGTATTGGTGATTTCTGACCATTTCAGTTATGAACATATTACAGGCGCTGCAAGTCCATCTTCACATGTGAATCCTGGAGAAACATTCATTTATGAATGGGAGGTGCCAGAAACTGTGGGTCCTACTCCAGAGGACCCAGATTGTCTAACACGGATGTATTATTCAGGATCAGATCCAATCAAGGACACCAGCTCTGGCCTCGTGGGTCCACTTTTGGTGTGCAGGAAAGGATCTTTGCTTCCATCAGGGAGACAGGTAAAGCAATAAGAATGGGCATAATCTACTCCTAACTATTCTGCTCTCCTTCCCAATGATTCCTCAAGGTATGCCATCATGGATTTTAGGAGGTTTGCTTATGCTCATTTGACACATCTTGTTCACTGTTGCCCTTATCATTTGCTGCACTTCATACAGCTGATGTGGGATAGTCTGTTGGGCAAATTTGGTACAGAGCAGTCATGCATATTCTGTGTCAGACCAAGCCAGGCACACCCCATTGGGCAGGTAGGGAGGCTCACTATTCATATCATTAATCCTCTTGGGTATTTACAGTCAGTGCCAAATGACTGCAAAAACTGATGTTTATCAAATACTTATCAGGTCACTAAAAATGTCTATTAGACTTCATACAGTACATATCTGTGGGGCTGAATTATGCAGACTTTTCTGCCATTGTTCCATGATGGCACAGATGTAAATGTTTCAATGCTGTGAGAGACTGAGAAAAGCCATGCTGGATCAAACCGCCTGGTCAGTGCCAGTGCAAACTCTTGAATCTGATGGTGATGAAAACTATGAAAACTGGTTTGTTACTGTGAATTAACATAGTTGTCCATGTTTTGGGTTCTTCTTCATGGTAGAGCTATGGAGCCTTTTAGGATGAGTGCTTACACTTAAATTTAGTAGTTTACTTCAGGTGCCGACTCTCATCTATTCTATCACTGTAGCTAAGCATATGATACTATGAAACATGTTCTTTGTTGTAGATACAGTAATTGTTAATTCCTTTCGGTAAGTAGAGTATCAGGTACAAACAACAACGTCACAAAGAAAGCATAAGAAAATGCTCAAGTCTCAGAGCTTCCCCCTTTCACAATAACTAGCACTTCATATACGTATTAAAAAATCACTCTGGAAGCATTTTAAGTAGAGAAGTATGTTTAGTTGCAATCAGTAGTTACGAACAGAAGAATAAAAGGAAAGTTGCAGTCTGCACATGTGGGGGAAGCTGCCTTCATGACCACATGGTTGAAAGACTCGGAGGAAGAGAGGCACAAATAAAAACAAGAAGGACAAATAGGAAGAGGAGACGCAGAACTGAGGAGACTTGCCTCCAAAGCCAGAAGTGGGGAAAAGAACACTAATTGATTAGTGGCAAAAGGAGGCAATCCCATTAATATCTAGTGTTAACAACATACAAGGTTGTTATTATTCCAAAATTCTTCATCCCCAGATTTAACAAACAATTTTGAAGGATGTGAGCTCTGCCTCTTAAGAATTGAAGTTTGTCCAATTTTGTTAAAACAAATCTCTCTCTCTCTTAGATGATGAGCACAAGCTCAGTGAATGCAGACACCACACTACTCCTCTCACTCCTGGGCTGCCTCCATTCATTATAGTCTACAAATATTACAGCAGGAATAGGATATATTTGAGATGGAGGAAAAAAGAATGTTTAAAACAGATGCAAGGATGTTTCATAGATTATATAATAAATTAAGCATTTCTGTTCAGAGAGTTCTACTCAATTTAATATATTTTTCCCACCTTTTCCTTCTATACCACAGAAAAATGTAGACAAGGAATTCTTCCTTTTAGCAACAGTATTTGATGAAAATCTGAGCTGGTACCTGGATGACAATATTGACCTCTTTACAGAACAACCTCCACAGGTTGATAAGGAAGATGAAGATTTCCAGGAATCCAATATGATGCACTGTAAGTCTTCTTTATCCTGTCTCTTGCAATTACAGCTAATCACAATGCAGGCATTTTTAAAAAAATATTTTTTCATAGTCTGGCATCCTAAAATAGGCCAAAAGAAAGCAGGTTCAACCATGTGGGAAACCATATTTCCAAGGCATCTATCCTGTACCCATCATCTTTCTTCAACTTTGTCCAAGATCTGTCCAATTTTCTGTACGTAGTAATAGGGAATATCGCAGTCTGAATGATTTTGATCTCTAGCAACATGGCTTTACCCTTGAAGATCTTTTCTAGTTTCTGTACAGCTGTTTTGCTAAGCCTCGGTCTTCATTCAATGTTTTCAGTTGCAGTCTCCAATCTTTTAAGAAGTGACAGAACAGCTTTAAAACTATATGTTAACAGTGAAATGAAAGAGTGTTATTGTACTATTGGAGGGGGGGAGAGGCTGGGATGAAAACAAGGTGGAAAGCATAGCCATGAGAAGGTTGCAGAGAAAACCATCATATCAAGTCATTTACAGTCTAGACAGTTTTTTCCCCCTGACAACCTTTCAGATGAACCCAGTGATGAAATACAGATCTGCCCATAGATTTCTGTGGGAAAAATTAATAAAGACTCAAACATGTTCACTTGACCCCTGAGCTCACGGAACTGAAAATGGAAAATCTCTAAAGAGCCCAATGACATGGAGCATTCTTAGTAGGCACACTATGCCAACTCGAGGGTATGATCAGATATCAGGAAAAGCATATATCTGATCATACTGGCAAGGACTGTGTGGAGCAATATTCCTTAAAGCAACCATTTTGATTGTTTGGGAATTGTCCCAGCCTGGCCTGGAAAAGTAGCAGTCTTACAGCTGGACCCAAAATGTCAAACTTGCATGTGGATCCAGGCTGGGCTAGAGCACAGCTTTCTGTATATCATGTGATCAATAAGAAATAGATCACACTGCTTTGCCCCACAAGTGGTCCAAATGTGATCTATTTCTCCATGTGATCATACCCTGAGTATTGAAAAAGCATCATAATGATGATGATGATGATGATGATGATGATGCAAAGTCTTGTTGTATAGTCAGTCCTCTCAATAGTTTGAAAGTGTTTTTTAAAAATTATCTTGGTAGATAGTGATAGTGACCAGAGAAATGACTGCAGAAATTGTTGTTTAGACAGGAGCATTATAATGTTATTGTACCATCTCTTTCATTTTGGAGGTCTTATATATCAGTTACAAAAAGAGGTGCAATTTTATTGTGCTGCCACTATCTTTCTGTTGATATGGCTCTGAGCAGAAAGCCATTTGCTATCATGGGACTTACATTGGAGGCAGTCTCTGAGAATGGCAGTTACACAAAACTTGAGTTATGCAATGGCTACTCAGGTGACAGTCCTGTACATATTTAGTATCAAAGTGTAAATATACTTCTGGGTAGAAGTGAGCAGGACTGAGCAACATTGTTTTGTTAAATATCTCCAGGCTGAATGACACGCTTCATTAAATTAATAGAATGCTCTTGAGCGTGTTTGTTTTACTTCCAACAAACTCTTTATCTAGATTGAGATTGCTATGAATGAATATAGACTTAAATCTTCCTCCCCAGCCATTAGTACCCTTAAATTCACTACCCCCTGGGCAGAAATTGAAAAATGTCTATGGGAGGCAATGGATTCCCTGTGTTTTTTTCTCTTTTTTTGGCAGAGGCATGTGGAATAGGCAGAAAAACATGCCAGAGAATGTTTAAGGTGCTCTTTTCTAATCCAGATCATCTCCCTGCTCCCCCTTGCTTGCTTGGGAATAAGAAAGAAACTGAAGTAGCATGGTACATATGCAATACAGCTTATAGTTTAGCCCTCAGATGAACAGGTTTAAGAAATAACATTATGTCTTTTTGTGGATTCTGAAATGGTAGAAATTCATTTCCTAAAATAGTGGGCTATGATGCAAATATTCTTGTCCAGTCGTTTATCAGCCTAATTTTGAAATATTTGCTATTGGCTGTGGGCTTTTGTTTGTTTGTTTGTTTTTTTGTCATTTTACATTTATTCTGCTTATCTCTTTTGCAGCTATGAATGGATACATGTACGGAAACCTGAAGGGTTTCAAGATGTGTGCTGGAGACACTGTATCTTGGCATTTGATTGGCCTGGGATCAGAGGTTGATATTCATGGAATACATTTTTCAGGAAATACTTTTTTGACTCACGGGACAAGGAAGGATACAACCAATCTGTTTCCACATACCTCCGTCACGGCTATTATGAAGCCTGACTCAGAAGGTGAACAATAGCAACTCTATTTACTGCTCTTACACCCTTGTATAAACATTGAGCCCAGTGTAAGTATCTTTCCACAGCAGTTTTCCAACCTAAAGTGGTCTACTTCAAAACTATATATTTAGCTAAGTCACACTGCCTCTTCCATGTTCCTAATAGCTATTAACATTGTGTTTCC